AGTCACTAGAAAAAAATGTAGTATGGGGGCCGGCCACAATCCCAACTATGTGGACACCCGTCCCCCCTCCCTCAGAAGAATGCACTTCAGAGGACAGCTGGGCTTCAGCTTGGGGAGAGGGGAGCGTTGGATTAGAGCACATGGGAGAAACGCAAAGGGATGGAGAGGGAGAGGAGGACACCCTGGCCCACCAAGCCCCGGACGATGTTCCTGCTCGGAGCAGACAATGCATGGGGAGCCACCACGGGACATGGCACCCCTCACTGAACCATGGCGCTGCGAGGGACAGCACTGGAGACACAGTGCGGGAACAGTGCATGGTCTAGCCCCTTCACGCTGGGGCGAGGCACTGAGGGCATGCAGCAGAGCAGCAGGGGGAGCAGTGATGAAATCCCCGGGGAATACCAAAAATACACTTTAGAGACCGAGTGTGGCACCCTATCAGACTCGACTGGAAAACACTCGTAAAGGCCAACAAACAGACCTTGAACTATTTATAGGCTTTTCCATTTTTGTCAGTGGCTTTCTTTTTGTTATTTTGTTTTTTGCTGTTGTTGTTATAGTTTTGTTGGTTTTGACTTCCTTTGTTGTTTTATTTGGCTTTGCCTGGCTTTTGCCCTTATTAATGTCTCTGCATGTCTATCTAGGTAAGATAAGTGGGATAAATAATCCGGAGACGAAAAGAATGGGACCAATGGTTGGGGGTGGGGGGTGAGAGATGGGAGAAGGGGTGGGGGGTGAGAGACGGGAGAAGGGGAGGTGGGAGACAGGAAGAGAGGCAGGGAACGAACCCAGGGACAAGGGAACAACAAGTGAACTAAAATCAATGGAGAGAAGGGCGTAGGATGCCTAGTGGGGCTTAATCAAGGGCAATGTAGCAGTGAGGAATTACTAAACCAAAATGAAGCCCAAACATGATGGTGGGACAGGAGGAAAGTAAAAGGAAATAGAGAAAAGAACCAGGAGGCAAAGGATATGTATGAAGGTCCAAATATAGGCATGTACATATGTAAATATATATATATAGATATATATATATATAATGAAAGGGGAATAGAACTCTGTACTCATATCTACAGTATATGTTAAGAATTAAGGTTACAGACGGACATTGGGCCTTGACTCAAGTACTCCCTCTACGCAAGAACACTTTATTCTAACAATCCAGCATTCTGTGATGCTCACCTTCCCTGACTCAAGTACTCCCTCTACACAAGAACACTTTATTCTAACAAT